TCAAGGGTTCATGAGGCGGGGAGCTGGGAGGGAGGGGAAAAATGAGCTGATACCAAGGGCTCAAGTAGAAAGCAAATGTTTTGAGAATGATGATGGCAACGAATGTACAAATGTGCTTGACACAATGGATGTATGTATGGATTGCGATAAGAATTTTTCGTGCCCCCAATAAAATGATTTTTTAAAATATTTGTCGTATAATTTATGTAAGAAAATATTAGCCATTTTAACTATTTTTAAGTGTACAGTTAGGTGACATTAATTGCATTTACCTTGCCTCCCAAGCATCATTATCCATTTCCAAATATTTTCCTCTCCCCAAACAGAAACTTCTGAGGACACTGGAGGCTCAGTGGTAGAATTCCCAGACCCGGGTTTGAAGTCTGGCCATGGCTCCTCAGTGTGCAGCCAGCACCCATCTGTCAGTGGAGGCGTTCGTGTTGCTAAAATGCTGCACCATCAGTAGCAGACAAAATCCCTGGACCCCTCAGCTGTCCCTCTTGGCTCTCCCTCCCTCCTCCCTAGAACAGTGATCTTGAGTGTCTCCAACCAACCAGAGAAGCCAGCCTTCCAAAGTCAGACCCAATAACAATGATAATCTACGTGAAACATTTCAGGGAAATATGTGTAATCATTTTACATCAATGCTCAACTCAGAATATACTTTAAAAGTGGAAACTGATCCATAATGACTGCTTCTGAAAAATGGCTCCTCTGGTTTGACAGGTAGACACAATGTCTGAAACCAGGACTGACCCTCACAGCTGGGATATAGCGTGTCAATGTCTGCCTTCCTCCCACTGGTGGATTGCCCAGTGAGCGAGGCAAGCACAGGCTTACTTGTGTTTATTTCCGAATCTATAGTGAACAATCTCACATTTTCCACCACATCAAACATTGGGCTTCTAGGTCTGGCTGGCATCTGTTGCCCTCCTGACCCCAGGATACCTGTTGACAGGATCAAAGCCTCCTTCAAAGTAGACTCTGCCCAGGGCCAGCCTTCCTTGAGCTGACGTACTATTCAGGAGTGGGAAGTCTCACACTTTCACCACATCCCCACCCTCTGCTTTCTTTGTGGTGGTGACCACGGGAGCGAATCGAACACATCAGAAATACAAACACCGTCTACATAATAGGGCAGCTACTTTTCTCTGGGGGGGAAATAAATCTTTCACTACCAAAGCAAAATGTCCTTTAAGGAACTGTGGTGTTTACTGGGAAAGTTCTCTGAGAGATCTACAGGCCTTTGAAATGTCCTATCTCATTAGCAGCCTGATGATAGCATGAAAAACGGTTTTTTTTTATCAGAGAGGAACAAAATGTTAATGACTACTAGATATATAATTTAGCTCATCCTCTTAGGAGCCCTGGTGGTATACTGGTTCTGCATTGGACTGTGATCCACATGGTCAGCAGTTCAAACCACTGGCAGCCCTCTGGGAGAAAGACTGGGTTTTCTACTCCCATCAATCGTCGCAGTCTCCGAATCCCCCCGGGAGTCAGCATTGGCTCCCTGGCCGTCAGTTTGGGTTTTGGTTTTCTACCTAACTTAATTTGTTCTTGATCTCAATTTTGCAACATAAATCTTTCCTCAGCAACCCCCAGGAGGAGCCCCTGGTGGCACAAGGGTTAAGCGCTCAGCTGCTAACTAGAAAGTTGGCAGTTCAAAGCACACTCAGAGACGCTGCCAGATAACTAGTTTGGTGATCAACAGGGCTTCCTGGTTTGTAAATAGTGGCTAGACATATGGCATTGCTCTGGGGAGTAAAAATAAAGAAAAGTAGTTCCCTTAAAATCACTGCACACAATGATTTGCTGGTATCAAGGGTTCAATAGCAGATAGACAGACAGGCAGGCAGACAGGCAGACATATAGCTGCTGCCGAACTGGCTCTTACACATAGCAACCCTAGGCCTGCGTCAATCTCAGGCCACCAGCAGGTTTGAGTAGACCATTGCCACTCCTTTGCCCATTCATCTCACCCCCTACTGCCCCAGATATGATGTCCTTCAACAATCGATCCCCCGGTGACCCTTCCAAAGTCAGTCAGTTGGACAATTGTGAGCCGTAGGGTTTTATTGGCTGGTTTTCAGAAGCAGACTGCCAGGGCTTTCTTCTTAGTCCGTCTTAGTCTGGAAGCTCCACTGAAACTTGTCTACCATGGGTGACCCTGCTGGAATTTGTCATACAAGGGGCACAGCTTCCAACATGACAGCAACATTCAAGCCACCTCCACGGAGAGACTGGGAGACAGATGGTGGAAGTGCTCAGTAAATGTAACTGTTTCCCTGTTTCCCGGAAAGTAAGACATCCCCGGAAAATAAGACCTACTCACAGTTTTGTCTCTTGCTGAAATATAAGGCACCCCCGAAAATAAGACCTCCCCGAAAATAAGCCCCCCCCCCAGCTACCGTAACTCTGGACTCTGGACTGTAGCGGCGGGCACCGCCACGCAGCTCACTGTTGGCTGCAACGCAGCCAGAGCAGACAGGAAGTGCGAGGTCTCATTTAATAAAACAATAAATGTGTACCGTATTCTTCCTCATGGAAACATAAGACATCCCCTGAAAATAAGACCTAGCGCGTCTTTGGGAGCAAAAATTAATATAAGACACTGTCTTACTTTCGGGGAAACAGGGTAGGCAAGATCAAGTCTATTCCAAAATAAGAACCCCATGTGACAGGAGTGGAACTTCTCCCTGGGGTTCCCTCGGCTGTACTCTTTCTGGGAGCACATCGCCAGCTCTTTTGTCCTGTGGAACAGCTGGGGGGCGGAAACCGCCCTCCTTCTGGTTAACAGCCATGCCCGTAACCATTACCCCGCCAGGGTTCCTCCAAGAAAGGTTTGCTGATAAAAAATCATCACAATTGTGAGGCTGGCACAGGGCCAGGCGCTGTTTCATTCTGTGATACAGAGGGTGACTACGAGTCAGAAGCGACCCCATGGCACCTAACGAAACAACAATACAACGATAAGAACCCATCCCTGCACGTACAGCCTGGATTTGGGTTCGTCAGATAATGGCTCCGATGCCAGAGTTGGCTTGGGAAGCAGCAGAGGGGAGCCAAGTCACACCTGTAGGCCATGGGGGCTCCGTTCCAAGGGGAAGCAGAGAAGGCCCCACCCATCAACAGCGGAAGCATCCATCTTTGCATCTGAGGGTAAAGAAGACAGGCCCCTGGCTCAGTGTTTTGAAGCAAAGCTTCATCCTGTGGCCAGATGAGTCGGCTGCACGCTCTGTTATGAAAGGAGCAGATTAAGAGAAAGACAACTCGAGACGTGGTAAAAGCATAGGATGGTTTACAAATCTTTTCATCTTAAACGGCTCCGTGCAAAGAACAGCTCCTTCAGCACCTTGGAGAACGGCAACGATGCCCTACTTCGCTGTGGGAATTAGATGCATAAGCACTTGACACAGCTGGTGGATGGCGCATGCCTCCCGTGACTGGAAGCCATTGTGGTTGTGATTGTCATCATTGTTGGGACTGTGTGCACAGCTGACGCTGTAGAAAATGCCGGAGGGTGTGGGGATATGTGGCTAGCACAGCGCCACAGTGCCCGCCCACTGAAAATGAGCCCAGTCTCCGGGAGTCCATTTGGATGTGCTGTCCTAGTAGAGCTGGTCTCCATGAGGTTCCAAAGGCTGATTTTTCGGAAGGTGATTGCCAGGCCTTGCTTCCGAGGTGCCTGAGCCCAGGAACTGCATGTCCCGCTGGGGGCTCCACCACACCGGACAGAACAGAAGCCTGAGGTTTCCAATGGCTGCTTGCCTGGGCCTTGGCACAGGCAGGGCCAAGTCTCTGAAGGGAGCCCTGAGGTGCCACAGTGTCTGCTGGCAAAGCCAGCCCAACACTTGGTGGCTGGCCTTTTATAAAACCCAGGTTATTGATGCGAATCTGGTTCCACCTCGGTGGATCCTTCCCGAAGTCAAGTGAGCCTCCCCTTCCTTCTCCCCGCACTCCCCAGTGGGTCTCCACCGCAGAAGAGCCCCTGTTCTCGGCAGGCAGGCAGGCGCCAGGCCTGCCCCCTCTCTCTGTCCTCGGAACAACGCTGGCGCCCCTGGCTGGACCACTGTTCCCTCCTCCTCATCCTGGGCTTGTGATCGAAACACATCAAGGATATGCAACCCCTTGTGAGGAAAGCTGCCGTTTCCAGTTAGACCACAATTCTAATTCTCCACGAGGACCCGTGTCTCCTGCTGGGACCATTCACCAGATGGGATTCAGGTGTGTTTTCTGATGGCCCGTTCACGTTCATCGCGGTAAAGGTGAAAACGTAGCCTTTGGTAGCAAAACTGAATCCATGCCACAATTTGAAATTCCAACGTCGGCTGGGCTTTGATGTAAGGTCCTGAGGACCACACACACACACACACACACATCACCCCTCAGGAAGGCATCTAGCACAGCCCTGGGGCCAGATGACAGAGGCATGTCCCTAACCCAGGAAGGAGTCCCTGAGTGGGGCAGAGGGTTGACACGCTGCTAACCAAACAGGTCAAGTCTACCCAGAGGCAGCTCGGAGAAAGGGCAGGGACCTCTTTCCTAACATTCCACTGTGGGAACCCTAGCGCACAGGTCCCCTGGGCCCCCGCAGGACTCCGAGCTGGCTGCTCCACACAGCTGTCCTGACCTTCACCAGAGGGGGCAAGGACATGGAGCCGGCAGCCTCATCCCTCGGAGCGGCAGCTGTTAGACCAGGGCCTGGAACTAGGGCAACTCTCTGCTCCTCTTACCTTGACCACGGTGGTCCCAACTTAGGTACTCAACAAGTAAATCCCTTGACTTCCCACTTCCCTCTCACCACCGAGAGCCAGTTTGAATGGGAGAAGTCTGGTCACCCAAATACGTGGAGCAGAAGTGAGTCAGGCTGACATTGCTCAGGGCTCCCGGATACTGGAAATAGCTACCATTCCTGGTTACTCAGAGTCCCTGAGCGGTGCAAACACTTAACATGCTCAGCTGCTTCCCGGAAGGTTAGCAGTTCGTTTCTCCAGAGAAGTGCTTCCAAAGAAAGCCCTGGAGATCGCCTTGCCTTAAGGAGCAGGCATGGAAAACCCTTCGAAGCCCAGCTCTCCTGTGACGCACATGGACCACCACAAGCCAGAATGGACTCCGTGGTCAAGGTCATGAAGTACTTGCTGGTGCCAGGCACTGTACTAAGCACCTTACAGATACCACATGCCTTCATTTCACAGGTGAGAAAATGAAGGCTCAAGGAAAGTAATGATGTCAAATTCAAACCCAGAGCTGGCTCACTCCCAAATCCTACTATTAACCCTCAAATATAAATGTGCTCCTCGCCAATCAGAGTGCAGTATAGCAATGATGAAATATGCAATTTTCCTCTAGTTCTTAAATGCTCCCCCCCCCAACTACCATGATCCCAATTCTACCTTACATATCCGGCTGGACTGGAGGATGTGCACTGGCACAGATAGGAACTGGAAATACAGGGAACCCAGGACAGATGAACCCCCCAGGACCGGTGGAGAGAGTGGCGATGGCGGGAGGGTGGAGAGAAGGAGAGGGAGAAAGGGGGAACAGAGGACAAGGTCTACATGTGGCCTCCTCCCTGGGGGACGGACAGCGGAGACGTGGGTGAGGGAGACGTGGGATGGGGTAAGATATGATAAAATAATAATAATTTACAAATTATCAAGAGTTCAGGGGGGAGGGAGGGGGGAAAATGAGCTGACACCAAGGGCTCAAGTGGAAAGCGGGTGTTGTGAGAATGATGAAGTCAACATATGTACTAATGTGCTGGACACAAATGATGTATGTATGGATTGTGATGAGTTGTATGAGCCCCTAATAAAATAATTATTTTTTAAAAAGTGCTCCTCGCCTTTTCTCTCCCCTCTTTCCTGGGGCTGGGCAGCCAGTCTCCCACTGGGTGGGGCGGAAGGTCCTGCTTCACAGTGCGAGCTCCCATATGCGACCACGGACTATGCGCACTGTGTCCCTGCACGGCCATCCAGAGACTACTCAAGATCCAAGCAGGGCTAGCTGGGTAC